TCCCGGATCCTTGGACGACCGGAGAGCCGCCCTCCATTTCCACACGAGCGCGACACTTAAAACTCAGCTCGATTTTATTTTACTTGGGGACCCTGAGGCCCAGAGCTGAAGTGTGATTCAGAGCTGGAAATGATCTTAGAATTTAATAGAGTTTTTAAATTTAAATTTTAATTTTTTTAAAGATTTTATTTATTTATTTGACAGACAGAGATCGCAAGCAGGCAGAGAGGCAGGCAGAGAGAGAGGAGAAAGCAGGTTCCCCACCGAGCAGAGAGCCTGATGTGGGGCTTGATCCCAGGACCCTGGGATCATGACCGGAGACGAAAGCAGAGGCTTAACCCACTGAGCCACCCAGGTGCCCCGAATCCAGTTTTTTTAATAGATGCATTCATTTGCTCTCTTTTAATTAATAGACTTTATTTTTTATTTTTTTATATTTTTTTAAGATTTTATTTATTTATTTGATAGAGATCACAAGTAGGCAGAGAGGCAGGCAGAGAGAGAGGGGGGAAGCAGGCTCCCCGCTGAGCAGAGAGCCGGATGAGGCGCTCCATCCCAGGACCCTGAGATCATGACCTGAGCTGAAGGCAGAGGCTTTAACCCACTGAGCCACCCAGGCGCCCCAATAGACTTTATTTTTTAGAGCAGATTTAGGTTTATCAAAAATTGAGCACATAGTACAGAGTTCCCATATACCCCTTCTCCACTACTCATTTCCCCCATCCTCAACATCTTGCCTTACTGCGTAGGTTTACTGTAGTTGATGAACCAATGTTGATACAGTGTTATTAACTAAAGTCCATAGTTTACATTAGGGTTCTTTCTTTGTGTTGTACATTCTGCAGGTTTTGGCAAAGACATAATGTCAGGTGTCTACCGTCACAGTACGGTACAAAATAAGTCCACTACCCTAAAAATCCTCTGTTCCTCCTACCCTCTTCCAAGTCCCTGGCAATCACTAATCTTTTTTACTATCTCTTTAGTTTTGTCTTTCCCAGAATGTCATATAATTGGAATCTAAGTATGTAGCCTTTTTATTTATTCATTTTTATTTTTATTTATTTTTTCAAGATTTTATTTATTTATTTACAGAGAGAGAAATCACAAGTAGGCAGAAAGGCAGGCAGAGAGGGGGAAGCAGGCTCCCTGCTGAGCAGAGAGCCCAATGGGGGAGCTCGATCCCATGACCCTGGGATCATGACCTAAGCCAAAGGCAGAGGCCTAACCCACTGAGCCACACGGGTGCCCCCATTTATTCATTTTTAATTACTTATTTTAAATAAGCTCTACACCCATGGTGGGGCTGAACCCACAATCCTGAAATCAAGAGTTACCGGCTCTACCAATGGAGCCCTAGAAAGGCGCCCCTAGAAAGCATGTAGCCTTTTCACACACCCTTTCATTAAGCAATTTGCATTTCAGTTTCTTCCATGATTTCTCATGGATTGATAGTTCATTTCTTTCCATTGCTCAATACTATTCCATTGCAGGGATATGCCAAAGTTTGTTTATCCAGTCACCATTTGAAGGATATCTGATTGCTCCCAGTTATGAATAAAGCTGCTATAAACATTCATGTGCAGGGTTTTGCATGGACAGGAATTTTCAGCTCACTTGGGTCAATAGCTGGGAGCCTGACTGCTGGATTGGGGTGTTAAGACTGATGAGCTTTCTAAAACACTGCCAAACTAGCTTTGGAAGTGACTAGACCATTTGCACTCCTGCCTGCCATGAATGAGCTAAGCTTTCTCTTATGTTAGTAAATCTGAGGGGTACCTGGGTGGCTCAGTCGGTTAAGCATCTTCCTTTGGCTCAGGACATGATCTCAAGGTCTTGGAGTTGAGCCCCGGTCCCCCAGGTCAGGCTCCCTGCTCAGAGGGGAGTCTGCTTCTCTCTCCCCCCTCTGCCCCTCCCCCTGGCTCAGGCACACCCACACTCACACCCACACTCACACTCACACGCTCTCTCTCTCTCAAATAAAGGAAATCTTAAAATATATATATATATATAATAAAAAGAATAAATTTGAGTTAATATTTATTCAATCAATTTGTTTTTTTAAAATTTTATTTATTTATTTGACAGAGAGAGAGATCACAAGTAGGTAACAAGGCAGGCGGGGCGGAGCGGGGTGCGGGGAGCAGACTCCCTGCTGAGCAGAGAGCCCGATGTGGGGCTCGATCCCAGGACCCTGGGATTATGACCTGAGTGGAAGGCAGAGGCTTTAATCCACTGAGCCACCCAGGCACCCCAGAGCAGGGCCTATTTTGAGGCTGGAACAGGGACACAGTGGTAAGCAAAAGCAGATCCTGATCTGGAGCTTACAACCAGAGAGAGACTGATTTCTTTCTTTCTTTCTTTTTAGATTTTTTTTTTTTTTTAGATTTTATTTATTTACTTGACAGAGATCACAAGTAGGCAGAGAGGCAGGCCGAAGCAGGCTCCCTGCTGAGCAGAGAGCCCGATGCGGGACTCAATCCCAGGACCCTGGGATCATGACCTGGGCTGGAGGCAGAGGCTTTAACCCACTGAACCACCCAGGCTCCCCCTCTTTTTAAATTTTTTAATTTAAAAATTATTTTCATTTTTTATGTTTTTAAGTAAGCTCTAGGTCCAACATGGTGCTTGAACTCCACCCCAAGGTCAAGAGCTACGTGCTTCACTGACTGAGCCAGCCAGGTGCCCCGAGGAGAGATTAATTTCCAATTCAGTGTATGTGTTAACATTCTGGGGTGGTGTTGCTTTCCCTAGCCTCTCCCTCCCCTCTCTGAATATGAAGGCAGATCATTTCTGCACCTCAGGCAGATCTGCCCTCTCCTGCTAACTGAGGTTACCCAGTCTGGGATCTGGAACTTCTGAGGAGTCATGGATTTGAGTTATGGGCAGATTATAGATTGGTTCATGAGACACAGAACCTCTGGTGGGGGTAGTTCTACGCATGAAATCTATGGGTTTACCCCGGCAGGGACTTCCTTGCCATCAGGCTATGCGTAGTATGGCCAAGGGCCTCCAAGCCTGGGCCTCTGAGCTGGTATTTTGCTTCACAGTCTTGACTTTGGAAATGGAGCAAGTACCAAGTCCTGGCTTAGAAGGGAAGGGAGGGTTCATAGCGCAGAGAGCCCTCCAACGGCAAATCTCTGACCCCAGGTGGGTGTCCTACACTTCGGTTTAATTCTGACCATTGGCGCAGATCCTAGAGGTTAAGGGCTCAGTCCCACCAGACCACCTCCCCCCACCCCCGCCATTTCAAATGCCAGGATAGATTGGGACATTTCCAGATTGGGGCATTTCCAGCGTTCCCCTGGAGTTCAGTAATCCCATGAAATGATTCACAGCACTCAGGAAGGTACTGTACTCACATTTTCATTATAAAGGATACAACGCAGGAACAGCCCAACGGGAGAGATGCACAGAATAAGGTTTTGGGGGAGGAAGGTCCACGAACTTCCGTGCCCTCTCCCGATGCATCACCCTCCCCGCACGTTGCTGTGTTCGACAACCCAGAAGCTCCCCGAGACTCACTGATTCAGGATTTTTTAGGTGGGGTTTTATTCCATATGTATGATTGCTTAAATCATTGGCCAAGGGAAGGGACAACTCAATGTTCAATCCCTTTCCCCTCCATCGGGGCCTGCGGTTGGGACCGAAAGCCCTGACCCTCTACTGACATAGTCCAAGGGGCTTATTAGGAGTACAAAAAACAGTCCTAGGGGCGCCTGGGTGGCTCAGTCGGTTAAGTGTTTGCCGGGGGCTCAGCTCATGATCGCAGGGTACTGGGATCGAGCCCCGGATTGGCTCCCTGCTCCACAGGGAGCCTGTTTCTCCCTCTCCCCACCCCCTGTTCATCTCTCTCTCTCTCTCAAGTAAATAAATAAAATCTTTAAAAAGGAAAAAAAGAGACAAAAACAAAAGACAGTCCTATCTCTCAGTGAATTCCGAGGGTTTTAGGAGTTTTAGGAGCTCTATGCCAGCAACCAGGGACAAACACTAAATACACCCTATGATGTTGCATGTTGCCATCAGCTCCCCCAATTAAAAGGCCCACAGGAGCAAACACATGGGCCTGCAATGTAAGGGCGACTTCAAGCCCCGAGCACCACCTTCCAAATGAATTCAAGGTTACTGTTGCTTTCCAGAGAGATGCCCACCCCCGGGAAAAAGGCTGCTTCTACCTTGGCAAGCCGTATGGCTTTGGGCAAGTCACATCACCTCCAAAGTGGCTTCCCCGCCTGTAAAATGCAGACAGTAACTCCCATCTCAAAAGTTTGTTTAACAAGGTGGTGGGCATCTTGGCCCTGGACACAGGGAGGTACACAATTACATGAGCTACTTCTTCCCCCTTCTGCCTAAACTTCCCGACCCTCCTGGCCTGCGCTCTGGCCCCTTGTGAGACAGGAGACTGTTCGTGTCTTCCCTTTCAGACGCTCAGCAGAGGCCCCCACCTCCTGCACACACGCACAATGTGCCACAGTCACAATCCCCATCTGAGCCCTGGGTTCTAAGCCCGGTTTTACCACTAACCGTGACTTCGGACAAGACCCCAGTCCCTGCCCTACTTCGGGCCTCGGTTTTACTCCACAAAACACATTTGTGCAAACAGGGGCTGGGATCTAAGTTTCACTGAGGTGCCTTCCGCTCTGCCCCTGTTCCCATCAGCCATCAGCACCACCGTGTGAAGCAGAGAAGCCACTAGTAAGAGTGTAAATAACTTATAACTTTATTATGGATGAAAAGTACTCGCTTGAGAACTCGAGCCTAAAGGCCACTTCCCGAGGTTACCTAAGCAGATAAGGAAAGGAAGGGATGCCGGAGCCTGGGCTGGGGCCAGGGCAGGGCTGGGACTCAAGGGCAGGACACTGCTGGACTCTGTTCCCTTGAGTCCCAGACAAGGAGGGACCCAAGACTCTGTGACCCGATCTAGGGAGAAGCAGGGAGAGGCCCGGGTCAGGTCCACCTTCCCACCATGATAGGAATACAGGTCCTATTGGAAGCACGCGCTCCAGAACCCACCAAGACCAAGAAGGAGGGCTCTTCCCTGGGGACATCCTGTGTCTCGGAGTAGGCAGCCCCAAGCTCTATCTACGCCCAGCCTGGGAGGGGCTGACAACCGGGCACAGAGCAAGCGGGAACCAGACGGGGCCACGTCAGGGCCTGAGCTCATCCTTCCACTTCTGCAGTTTCTCGTCCATGGCCTGGAGCGTGGACTCGTCCTGCACCAACACAGGTCAGTCCTACCCCTCCCTCCCCACAGCACCAGTGGGCCACGGGGAGCTTGCGGAGGTCCTCTCTCCCCTCCAAACCCCCATCCTTTACCTTCACAAAACAGAAGCGGACATAGTGGTCAAATTGCTTCCGATGTGGGGTGCTGTAGAAGACGGAGACCGGGATGGCCGCCAAGCCCTAGGGAGGAGGAAGCCCATGTCTGAGAGCCTCCCCACAGCATGGCAGGCCCTGGCTCTGGGGGACAGAGAGCTTCCTGTCGTGGGCTGGGGCAGGGACAGTTAGCTTGGGTGCAGCACCTCCCAGGGATGGGTCAAGGTCAGAGGAAAAGAATGGCAGAGCATGGTTCCCAGTCCCTCCCTGTGTACAGAGGGGAGGTGAAGGCTGGGGGGGGGGCGGTGGGGACGGGGGGGCGCGGCATGCCATGTGTTAGATCAGGGCAGACACAGAAAAGAAATCAACCTCAGCGTCAGAGCCCAGAGCCCACCCAGCTGGGCATTAATGTGCCAACCCCACACCCTACAGACAAGCCGGCCAAGGCCCGGAGAGCCCAGGGATGCCCGCCAGCCCGCACAGCATCTTTCTGCAAATTCCAGACAGAGATGCACCCTGGTCCTAGCGCTGACAGCAGAGGCTGGGCTGGACTGGGGGCCTGGCCTCTAATAGCGCCCACGGGGTCCTGGCCGAGCCCAGCCCACCTTGTTCCTGATCATCCACTTGACGAAGCGTCTGTCGTAGGGCTCATCTGCATCGCCTGGCAAGTCCGGCATCTGGGTCTCTGGGGGACAGAAGCCACGCTGAGCCCCGGCCGCCTCCAGCCACCGCCCTCCCGCCCTGCCTCTGCCCGGCCTGGCCAGTCCTGCTCACTGAAGTCTGAGATGTCTGCGATGAGGAAGTAGCTGCCCTGGGGGACCACGGGCCTCAGGCCCACAGACTGCAGACTGCGAATCATGTGGTCCCTGTAGCGCTGCACAGCTTGCGGCAGCTGCACGAAGTAGCTGCTGGGTTGGCCAAAGTGCAGTTGCTCGTGCTGGAAGCTCTGGGCCACGGCGGCCTGCGGAGGGTGGGCGCGCACGGGGCGGGGCTGATCGGACGGGGGAGGGGGGCTGGCCCGGGCTCTGTGGCGCCCCTCCCCCCGCGGCTGGGTCCCCTGCCTCTCCTCACCTGGCCCTGCGTGGGACAGTGATAGATAGTGTTCTGGTGGACGGTACGCAGGTGCTTCATGAGACTGTCCGGGCCCAGGGCCCAGCCGACCTGGACCGGGAACACAGGGAGGGGGTAAGGCCCTCTGGGGCCTGGCCACCCCCTTTCCTAATTCCCAGTGCCGCCTTGCCTGGCCCGCATCATGCAGGGAGGTGGTACCCCGACGGTACCCCGACCCTCGTCGACTCACCTTCCAGCCGGTGGCGCTGAAGCTCTTGCCAGCGCTGCCAATGGTCAGGGTGCGCTCCCACATGCCAGGGAGGCTGGCTGCCCAAGGCCAAAGAGAGACACTGCTCAGCCGGGGGTGTGGGGGGGTTGGTGGCCAGGCCCCAGGAGCACAACGGGCTCTGGGCACCCCGGCCCCCGCTAGGTGCTAAACTATTTTCAGGGCTCATCTGGGCTCATGTTCATGACCACCCCTGGGGGCAGTGCCATTGCATCCTCCTGCTCTCTGAGAGGCTAAGTCACTGCCCCAGGTCACACGTGCCCTAACCACGGGGCCTGTGTGGACTCCCAGATTGGGCTCAGGGCCCTGCCACCAATGTCCGGGGGAAGGGACAGGCCCCAGGCAGGCAGGGCTCACCAATGCTGACGTGCTGGTGACCATCGTAGACCAGCCACTGGTAGACCTCATCACTGATGCAGATCACGTCATGCTGCTGGCACAGGCTGGCCACCAGCTCCAGCTCGGCCTTGGAGAACACCTGTGGGGACCACCCCCAAACAGAGACACCTGCTCAGGGAGATGAACGGATACCACAGAGTTGGCTGCTAAGGGCTTTTCCATCCCATCTTATCGAATCCCTTGCAACACTGACCCTGGGAGGTCTGTTGCGAGTTAATAGAAAATATACACGTTGGTCTCTGCCCCTGGCCCCCAGGGTTCCTGGCACAGAGCTCCTACAACCCTTGTAAATGTCTTAGTGACAGGAGCACTAATATTGGGTCTTTGACCCCTGACAACAGGGCTCCTAAAGCCCTCGTAAATTCCTTAGTGAAAAGAGCACTAGAAGTGTTTTTTTGTTCTAACGAGGTGACGCTGGGTGGGCACCTGCGTAGCTCCAGCATCGGAGCTGGTCACCAGAATGACAAGCCATGATTAGAAGCTTGGAATTTCAGCCTTACCTGTATCCTACAGAGAGCAGAGGGGTTGGAAATGGAGTTTGATAATAATTAATCATGGGGCGCCTGGGTGGCTCAGTTGGTTAAGCGTCTGCCTTCAGTTCAGGTCATGATGCCAGGGTCCTGGGATGGAGCCCAGTATCGGGTTCCCACTCCCTGGTCAGTGGGAAGTCTGCTTTTCTTCTTCTCCCTCTGCCCCTCCCCGGCTCATTCACTTGCTCTCTCTCTTAAATAAATAAAATCTTTAAAAAATTATAATGACTGGGGCGCCTGGGTGGCTCAGTGGGTTAAAGCCTCTGCCTTCGGCTCAGGTCAAAATCCCAGGGTCCTGGGATCGAGCCCTGCATCGGGATCTGCTCCGCGGAGGGCCTGCTTCCTCCTCTCTCTCTGCCTGCCTCCCTGACTACTTGTGATCTCTCTCTCTGTCAAGTGAATAAATAAAATCTTTAAAAAAAAATTATAATGACTAATGATGCCTATGTGAGGAGCCTCCATAAAATCCCAATAGTACAGGGTTCGGAGTGCTTCCAGACTGGTGAACACATCCATATACTGGGAGGGCAACACACCCAGGCCTCGGGATCCTCCCAGACCTCGTTCTGTGTATCTCTTCATCTGGCTGTTATCTCCTTTCTCATCTATATCTTTCTCAACTCCTTAATAAACTAGTAAGTGGAAGTAAGCATTTCCCTGAGTTCTGTGCCAGCAAATTAATAGAAACCGAAGAAGGTGTGGTGGGAACCTCAAATATATAGCCAGGCTGGCATCTGAAGGGCAGGCAGCCTTGTGGGGCTTAGCCCTAACCTATGGAATCTGACGCTACCCCAGCTGGTGTTGTAGAACTGCTGGGTGTGGGGCCCCCCACACCCGAGGTCAGAGTGTTGTAAGGGCAGTGGTCGTATGAGGGGAGAGACACCCAGTTGGACAGCTGGATTTTCCTCTGCGTCAATTCTGTCATGTTCCCATTGGACATATGAGAAAATACTCCAAGAGGTGAGTCCACCATTCCCAGGGTCTCAGGGGTCACAGAGGTACCCAGTCTGCTCCAGCAACCAGCACTTCCGCCTTCCAAGGGGATTCCCACCCCTGTCCCCGGGACCTTGGGGAGTCTTGGTCCTCAGAGCTCATTACAAGTTGCCTTCCCATTTCACAGATGAAGAAACTGAGGCCCAATGCGGTAAATCAGTAACATAGCAGGGACCTGAACCCAGTCAGGAGGGGTTCCTGGAGGGCGCTCTCTAGGGTACCTTCCCCACGGGGTTGTTGGGTGTGTTGAGGATTAGGGCTTTGGTACGAGAGGTAAACTTGCTGGCCAGCTCTGTGGGGTCCAGCTGCCAGCTGCTGGCGGAATCCAGTTCCCCGTCCTGGGTGGGGCTCTGTGAGAGGAGATGGAAGGGGGCAGCGATTAATTCCCTAGCCGACCTTCAGCCCCCGGGGTTTGGCCCTCTTCGTGGGCATCTGTTTCCGCCCTCTCTCCTCTGGGACTCTGGACACCCCCCACATCCTGGAGAAACGGGCCTCTCTCCCTTCCTTCTTTCCCACCTCCCAGGGGCCCACACGACACACTCCTTGGACCCCTCCGCCTACCCACACCCTACCCAGCACCCTCACCGGCTTCAGGGTCACAAACACAGGGCGACCCCCTGCCATCAATGTCATGGGTTCGTAACAGTCAAAGAAGGGCTCCATGATGATGACCTAGCGAAAGGATCGGATTAGCTGGTCCCTTGGCCCTCATCCCGGCCCAGCCCGAGCCTCGTTTACTCACCTCATCTCCTTTGTCCACCAGGGCCTGGAAGGCCGTGAACAGGGCTCCATAGGCACCCACGGTCACCAGCACGTTCTTGAGCGGGTCTAGCTCCTGCCCCAGGAGCTTCCCAAAGAAACTTGCCAAGATCTTTGTCAGGGGCGGGTAACCCTGGCAGGACAGCAACCGTCAGCCCGCCTGGCTCAGCCTGGGCCCACCCTCCTGCTCAGCTACATCCAGGCAGTTCTAGCACTTTCCAGCCACAGGCCCGAGGCAAATTTGGCCTTTCATGTCCTCCACCAGCGCTGGCCATCGGGCCTGTTCTGTGCAGGCCCAACGCCCAGGGCTAGGATTTGGTGGAGGACCGGACAGGGTGCGTATTTTGTGGAGAACTGTCCAACGGAGCCCCACGGTGGTGGCAACTCCATGACTGAAGCCCTTCCTTCTCAGTTTAAGAAGCACATCTGTGCCATCGGCTCATCCCCAAAGCCTCGCAAGACACCAGTTATTTGATCCCCACGATTGGATAGGTAGAGAAACAGAGACCCAGAGATAGGAAATGACGCGCTCAAGGTCACGCACAGTTGAGCAGGAAGGGGACTTTATGGAAGCACCCCACTATGAGAGGAAGGTTGGATCCATATGCTTGTTTGCTGAGGACACTTATAAAGCACTCAAGGCTAAGCCAAAGGACTGAAACCCCAAGGTCTAGAACTTCACCAACTAATTCACTCAACCAGTCTGGACCATGTAAAAATTAAAAATTTCTGTCCAGCAAAATATACCAGGAGCCAAGTTAAAAGACAAAACATTGCAGACTAGGAGAAAGAGGTCAGATATTTAATATATAAAGAGCTCTTGCAAAACAACAAGACAAAGATAGAGACCCAAATGAAGAAATGGAGTTGGTCACAAAAGAAAAAGGACTGTGCACATATGAAAAGGATAATAATTGAAGAAAAATAAAAGCAACAATGAAATATTGCTCTAAGAATATGTCAGTATTAAAAAGATTGGAAATGCCCACGGCTGGCAATAGTAGGAGACCAGTGTGTTGGTGGGGATGTGAGTAAACCTTTTTGGAAGGCAGTTTGAAGATATCCATCACGTCTTTAAATGCTTACACCCTTTGACTCTCTAGTTTGACTTCCAGGGATTTGTCTGAGAGAAAGGCTCACACATGTGTACAAAGATATACACACAGAAATATTCACTGTGTCATTGCTTATAAAAGTGAGATAGTCAAACCAGCCCATCAGAGCAGGGCAGCTAAGGAGGGGAATACCGTGTGGCCCTTAAAGACAACGAGGCTATTCTGACATGGAAAGTTGCCCATGACAAGCTGCTTAGTGAAATAAACAGGTTACAGAGCACTATAGTACGAGTCTGTTTGTGCTAAAAACTGCAAATCTCATATGTTAGGTATATGGGTGTGTGTGAGCATGTGTGTTTATATAAGCACTTTAAAACGTTAAAAGTTTAAAGTCTAAATGCTCAGCAGAGTAGCAAACTCTCGGTCATAGTTACCACTGAGTGGCAGAACTGGATGAAACTCCCTCCAGGTAACTCTGATGCATACCAAAGTTTAAGAAGCATTCACTGTTTTCCTAAACCAAGGACTGACAAATACTTACCCTATGACCTTTACAGAAAGAGTCTGGATTTGGAGTCAGACGGGTCAGCAGCTTGTCTTTCGAGATGCAGCTTACATGCCACCTCCTCCAGGAAGCCTTCTCTGGTCTCCCCAGATTTCTTTCCCTCCTTCCTGCTCCCACAGCACCCCATCCTCCCCTATTACAGCATATCAAATACCTTTATTTTCTGCTTTTGTTTTCTTTTGGTTTTTGTCTGCTTTTCCTACTAGACCCTGAGCTCCCAGCTCATGGTTTTTTGTCTGTCTCTCCCCAGACCATGAGCGGTCCCAGGGCCTGGAACAGAGGAGACACTCAGTGAACAATGAACTACAGCCACACTGAATTCTCTGGGCTCTGCTCCAGAACGCTGATACCCATGTGGGCCTGATGTTCAGAAAGGCCTGACCCTTCCTCCCCCAGGGCCTCCTTGAGGCCTGCATCCCAGGGCCCCGGGCAAAGCTGAGACTCACAAAAGCCTTGGTGTACTGGTTGAGCATGAAGTCACTGTTGAGGGCGAGCTGAAAGGCTTGAATGGCGAAGTCGGGGGGTGGGAAGTCGGGGAAGCCTTGGCCCAAGTTCACGACATCATACTCACTGGCCATTTTGCCAAACTCCACCCTGAGCAACAAACAGAGAGTTGACACCAGGCCTCCTGGAACCTGGAGGTGAGCGGCTCTCTCCAGGACAGGATGAACAATGCACTGGACTCATTCCAGAAAAACTGGGCAGTTAGAGTCTGCCCCAGCCTGAGATCTGTGTGAGGGTCAAAACTGGTCCCTACTTTGTCATTACGTGGGCCAAGCACTGGGCCAATCCCGGGTCCTATTTTTTTTTAAAGTAGGCTCCACGCCCCGCATGGATCCCAGTGTGGGACTTGAACTCACAACCCTGAGATCAAGACCTGAGCGGAGATGGGGAGCCCGACGCTCCCCTGACCGAGCCCCCAAGGCAGCCCTATCCTACCCATTCTTTAGAAATATTTGTTGAGACTTCCTAAGTGGATTTCACGAACTACAGTTTGAAATATGTGCTCAAGGGGCACCTGGGTGGCTCAGTTAAGCATCTGCTTAGGCTCAGGTCATGATCCCAGGGTCCTGGGATGGAGCCCCGCATAAGGTTTCCTGCTCAGCAGGAAGCCTGCTCCTCCCTCTCCCACTCCCCTTGCTGTCTCTCTCTTTCAAATAAATAAAATCTTTAAAAAAAAAAATGTGCTCAATAAAAACCTTCCCATATGTATGCATATGTCCTATTCCTGAGTCACAGTGGGGATGGAGATGCTGAGGCTCATAGCGATTTGCCCCAGGACTACCTGTTCATGCATGGCCCAGCCAGCCTTTGTTTCTACATGGGCTCCATGCAAAGTTTATGCTTTAGACCACTTGCCTGGACAGACTGGGGTCCCACCAGCCCCCACCATCTGCCATTTCTGGCACCCACTGGTGGTCACCTCCTCAGGGGAACAGAGAGGCTGCATGAGAGGCTGGTGTGTGGTTGCAGACTGGCTGGCAGGCAGAGGAGTCAGCCTTGGCTGCATTGAATTTGCATGACAATAAATATTGTTCCATCTAAAACTGTCATTTTCTCCCCAGAGCCCCATAATACTTCCGAAGTTGCTGACACTCAGAGAGGCTAGTGACCTGCCCAGAGTCACACAGCACCTGAGGGCAGAGCTGAGATGCAAAATTGGGTGGCAGATGTTCCGTGGTAATCGAGACAAGGAAACTAAGCCCTGCAGAGACCAGCTGCCCTCTAGGTTGGGTTCTGAACTTCTCAGGCCAGCACTCTGGGGTTAGCAGAACCTCAGGCCCTTTTTTGTCTCGCATGGCTCTCATCCCTCTGGCACCCCCCCGCTCCTGTCCTGTACATTCTCCCCAGGCCTGCTTCTGCTCTGCCCTGCCTTTGCCATGAGACTTGGCCTCCCTTGGCCTCAGCCTCCCCTTCTGTATAATGGGGGTGTTGGGTTCAAGAGACTGCTGGGTCTGTGAGTCAGGAAAGCGTCTTGCTGCCTCTCCCAGCCTGTCTCCTAGTCCGAGTTGGACTCTACCTTATCTGCAAAGGCCCACGAGGCTGCCCAGCCTCCCTCACAGACAGGACAGAAGGTGGCATGACCGAGAGGGGCAGTCAGACACTAGAGGGGTTTTGGGTCTGGCTCCTCTGTCCCAAACACCATCGAGTATCAGGCAGAGGATCTTTGCAAATCACAAAGTGCTGTACATGGAGGTGGGGGTGGTGCTCAGAGGGGGGTGTTGAAAGAAAAAAAATGGTTGCGGGGGCGGGGTGCGCTCCTGGGTGGCTCAGTCGGTTGAGCGTCCAACTCCTGATTTCGGCTCAGGCTCTGCTCCCTGGGTCGTGAGATTGAGCCCTGAGCCGTGCTCTGTGCTGGACAAGGAGCCTGCCTAGGAGTCTCTTGCCCTCTGCCCCTCCCCCCACCTTCCATCTCTCGGGGGTGAGCACACCTGCTCTCTCTCAAAGAAAGAAAGAAAGAAAGATGGGGCGCCTGAGTGGCTCAGTGGGTTAAAGCCTCTGCCTTCAGCTCAGGTCATGATCCCGGGGTCCTGAGCTTTCTGCTCAGCGGGAAGCCTGCTTCCTCCTCTCACTCTCTGCCTGCCTCTCTGCCTACTTGTGATCCCTCTCTGTCAAATAAATAAATAAAATCTTAAAAAAAAAAAAAGAAAGAAAGAAGGAAAGAAAAAAGTGCTCCCATGTTTTATAAAAGCAACAGCCAACAACTTTTTTTTTTTGAAAGTACAGGGATGTCGGGGCGTGGCTGGCTCAGGGGGTAGGTAGAGCGTGTGACTGGATCTTCTGAGTCTGAGCCTCTGTGCTGCTTGCCAAAGGTGGGGGTGGGGGGGCGGTTAGGAAAAATCCCTGCATTTTTCTTACACACCTTCTTACTTCATCCATTGTATTACTAGTAACCACGGGCACACGTCTTTCAAATTTAGAACAAGTCAACAGAGAAAAGAAATTAACCTCAGCTCATGTCCAGTGCAGAGCTGCCTGTATTTTACGTTATCTTACTTAATTTATTTTACTTTGTACTAAGTGGGAAATAAAATCCCTGGAAAGCCCCAAGCCTGATGCCTTCCTACAGCATATCATTCATTTCATTTCATACGTTGATACAGCATTTCATACAGCGTTTCGCCTTATCCTCCCAAGGCCCTTCAAGGTAGATGTAATTAGCTCCATTTTGCCGCTGGGGAGCTGAGGTTCAGAGCAGGTGTCACTGCCCACCCCCACCCCCACCCCGCGCCCCAGCCATGAGCGAGGTGAAGCTGAGATTGGAACCCAAGCCCGCGACTCCCAGTCTCACCTCTCCCAGGCTGTGGCTGCAAACCTCAGTCCCAGCATGGTGGCCGTCCTGGGTACCCCCGAGTTAATGCAGACCCAGACCCGCCCCCAGCCCTGTCCCACCCTCACGCCGGAGAGGGGACCCCACACGCTTTCCCAGCCCTACGGAGCTCACCATGGGTTGTGGTCAATCCCATCCAGCCGACGAGCCTGGAGCCGCTTGGCCATGGCGAACTGGAGACAGAGAGAGCAGAAGGTCAGAGCGGTGGAGACCGGCTTTTATTCCGACCACAGCCCCAGCCCCCTTGAGGCAGAGGTGCAGATCTGCACTCCCCGGGAGCCCGCCTCTGGGCCTGGCTCCGCCCCATGCCGGCGGCCCCGCCCCCACCTGCCCCACCCACCAGCCCCGGCTCGGGGGATCCTGAAGCTCCGACCAGATTCAGACTAGATTCGGACCCGACAGGCAGGCTGAGGAGGAGGAGGGGCAGCAGGGAGGGGAAGGAAGGCAACACCGTGGCCAAGGTGCAGCCTGCGTTTAGGACCGCCGCTTCCCTTTAGGACGGCCATGCTAAACTCAGAACAACCTGGCTGGGCCCATTTTATAGATGAGAAAAATCACATTTTTTTAAAAATAATTTTTTGGGGCGCCCGGGTGGCTCAGTTAAGTGTCTGCCTTTGGCTTGGGTCATGATCCCAGGGTCTTGGGATGGAGCCCCTCATCGGGCTCCCTGCTTGGCGGGAAGCCTGCTTCTGCCTCCCCCACTCCCCCTGCTTGTGTTCCCTCTCTCTCTATCTTTCTCTCTGTCAAATAAATAAATAAAATCTTAAAAAAAAATCAATTTTTTTTAAAGTAAACGTTATGCCCCACATGGGGCTCCAACTCACGACCCTGAGATCAAGAGTCTCATGGTCCTCCCACTGAACCGGCCAGGTGCCCAAGAAAAATCATGCTTTAGAAGAGTATTTATCAATGTGATGTGCTGACATCAATAAAACGGGCTACAAAACAGTACGTACAGTATGATTATGTTTTGTAAAAAATCATAACCCTACTAACCTATTTGTATACACGTACAGTTTTCTATGGCCATATAGGAGTAGGCGGAAAAAAGTTTGGAAGATAATACATCAAAATGTTAACAAAGATTCTCTCTGAGTGGTGGAATTATAGGTGATTTAACTACATGTGTGTGCTTTTCCTCCTTTCTTTCTTTCTTTCTTTCAAGTTTATGCATTTAAATAATGTCTACACCCAAGGTGGGGCTTGAACTCATAACCGTGAGATCAAGAGTTGCATGCTCTTCCAACTGGGCCAGCCAGGCATCCCATGTGTGTATTTTTCTATGGTTCCATCTTTTTGGTATGGAGATCACACCATATGGGATTGATTCTGATATATGCTTTCTTTTCCCCCTTGCACGTTCTCTGAATTCAAACGTATCTCAGAATCTCTAGCATGAATCTGATTGGCATTTCCCACCCCCTTACTAGCCCATACAATAACAGCGTATCATTGATGGGATCATGGTTTCAATGCTATAAGGAATTACTGTTGAATTGGGGATACCTCATTTTTAAGAAGATAGAGGGGCGCCTGGCTGGCTCAGTCAATAGAACATGTGACTCTAATCTCGGGGTTGTGAGTTCAAGCCCCATGTTGGGTGTAGAGATTACTTAAAAATAAAATCTTAAAAATACATACAATGAAGATGAGGTTGGGGGGGCAGGTGAGGGTGCATGTTAGGGTGAGGGAAGTTTGAGAAGGTTGGGGTGGGGTAAGGGGTACCAGGGTACAGAGGCATAGAGAGAGAGAGAACAATGGAGGTGAATGGAAGTGAATGAGAATAAAAAGGAGGTAAATATAATGCAAGCACAGAAACTTGGGGGAACTCAAAGGAGTGACCCTCAAGTATGACACACAGTAATTGCATTAAGTGAGGAAACAGTGCCTGTTTTTGGACTTATGTATAATGTATTCCTCAGCCAATGTCTACTGAGCACCTACTGTGTACTGAACACTGGGCTGGTCTTAGGGGATGAAGGGCAGGCAGCACAGCTCCATGCAGACCATTCAGATGCAGAGCTACAAGTTCAAGGTTAGAGGAAAGAGCAAGGGAGGGGTTCCCTCCAGGCTAGAGTCAAGGAAGGTGTCCTGAAAGAGGGGCTTCATGCACAGCTTTGAAGCTGGGACCATGCCAGATCATTGGGGCTCTGGGCTGGGCAGCAAAACACGTGGGACTAGAGCACTTACAGTCTGGTGCATGCACTGAGTGAGAGAAGTTCCAGCCTTCTTTCTCTGGAAGAGCCCAGCCAGGTGCAAATAGATGGCAGCCACATTCCTGAACATGCCTCCCAGGGCCTTGGGACACTGGTGACTTCTCCTCCAGAGGCAGAGAAGAGGGAGGAGAACGCTCTGGCCAAAAAATGGCTCCGAGGCCAGGGTATGGATTCCACACACACAGCTCTAACAATAACAACAACAACAACAGCAGCAGTAACAATAAGAGCTAATATTTATTGACTGGTCACTGCATGCCAGGCATGGCAACAAGTGCTTTCTTGCATGATTATCCCTCACACCTACAACCCCCTGGCCCCCAGAAACCAGAGGGACCCTTTCAAAATGTAAATTACCTCTAACAGAAGAGAAAAAAAAAGATCCAGGTGAAGATCATGGATGACCCCTAACACCACAGGGAGAGTCGATCCCACATTATGTTCTGAGTCTGGAAACACATACACCTCCTGCAAATTACCTTCGTGCCAAAACCAAATCTAGATCAGATCGTGCCACTGGGTTACTAAAACACAAGGGACAGAAGAATATGTTAAATGATACCATGGAGAGGTGATCCACAAATGACTTTGTTTCTTCAACAAATAAAGTGAAGGGGGAAAAAGTCCAGGGCAGGATAGATGAAAAGAAATTTACATTTAAAAAATGAATGCAGGGGCGTCTGGGTGGTTCAGTGGGTTAAGCCTCTGCCTTCGGCTCAGGTCATGATCTCAGGGTCCTGGGATCGAGTCCCGCATCAGGCTCTCTGTTCAGCAGGGAGCCTGCTTCCCTCTCTCTCTCTTTCTCTGCCTACCTCTCTGCCTACTTGTGATCTCTCTCTGTCAAATAAATGAATAAAATCTTAAAAAAAAATGAATGCAAAAAAAAAAAAAAGAATGCCTTGAAAAGGAAGAAAAATGTTGGAGGGCTTGATGCACAATTTCAAAGCTTATAAGAACCAAGAAAGGATGGTATTAGCATAAGGACAGACATATAAGTCAATGGAATCAAAGTGAGAGTCCAGAAATAAGACTCTCCCATGGTCAGTGGTCATATGGTCACTTGCTATGTGACAAGAGTGCAAAGAAAATTCAATGTGGAAAGAACAGTCTTTCAACAAATGGTGCTTGGACAAGGTAATTCACAGGCAGAAGAGTGAATGTATACCCCTACCTCACACCATACACAAAACTAACACATTGTAGATCATGGATCTAAACACAAGAGCTAAAGCTATAAAACTCCCAGAAGAAAACAGGAGCCTGTCTTTGTGATCTTGAGTTAGAAGACGGTTTTGTAGGTACGACACCAAAAGCGTGGGCAACAAAAGAAAAAAACAGATACAAGGGACTTTACCCGAATCAAAAACTTCTGTGCCTCAAAGGATACCATCAACAGAGTGAAAAGATAAAAGTATGGGGGTAAGTATTTGCAAATCATGAATCTGAATTTCTCCGAGGAAGAGTACACAAATGGCTAATAGGCACATGGAAAGGTGCTCAGCATCCTTAGTCACTGGGCAAATGCCACTTCGTACTTGCTAGAATGGCTACAGCAAATATCGGTAATTACAAGTATTTCAAGGATATATAAAGCTTATCAGCTAGAGACTTACATGGCAAAACACATTCTCTTTATTTTTATTCTTTAGAGATTTAACTTATTTATTTATTTGAGAGAGGGAGAAAGAGCATGAGTGACAGGTGGGAGGGGCAGAGGGAGAGGGACAAGCAGGCTCCTCACGGAGCCTCAAGCCTGACCGCAGGACCTGGAGATCATGACCTGAGCTGAAGTCAGATGCTTAACCGACTGAGCCACCCAGGCGCCCCGCAAATTCTCTGGAAAGTAGGAACAAAATTCAAAGAAATCTCTATCACCACTTCCTTTCACCACTGTGTTGGAAGTCCCAGCTGGTGGGACAAGAACAGGAAATTACATGTATAAGACCCGAAAGAAATAATATCCCACTATTTGCAAGGGGATACAGTTAACTACACACAATAATTCAAATATACAAACTGGTAAAATTAACAAACGCTCAGCAAAGTGGCTGCATTTAAGATCAAAATGGGAAAATAAACGGCATTGCCATCCCTTCCCCAAAATGCTGCCTTTCTCTTTCTTTGGCCCTACGGCCTGCAGGTGCATTAGATACCCTTGGGCACCAGGAAAACACACACCCAAAAGGTAAACACACAAGTCAGAGGATTACAAATGTGTAAAGATGCTTCAAGGATGTTGAGAAACTGCAAGCCTGGTACATCGCTTCTGGGAATGTAAGTGGCGTAGCTGTTACGCAAAATGGTCTGGCAGGTCCTCCAAATAATAAGCATAGAACTACTTAAGATATGACCCAGCAACTCCATACCGTTACTGGTATGTAACCCAGAGGAGTGAAAACATGTGCTCACACAAAGACTTGTATGTGCATGTTTATACCAGCATTATAAAGTGGTAGCAACCTGAGTGTCCGCTACAGGATGGTAATAAAATGATTTTCCATGGGATGGAAAATCATTTGGCAATAAAGGGGGAGGAGGTTCTGACACCTGCTGCAACACGGGTGAGCCTTGACAGCATGGTGCTGAGTAAAAGAAGCCACTCACAAAAGACCACACGTTATAGGATTTCATTTATACTAAGCAGGCAAGGCTCTCGAGATAGAGAGTAGATCGGTGGATTGCCTTGGGCTGGGGGTGGGAGGGTGGGGTTGGGAATGCTGCTACGGTTACTGGGTATCTTTTTGGCCTAATGAAAATGTTCTGAAGTTAGACGGTGGTGTGGCCATGCTAAAAACGAGTGAATGGTACACTTGGAACAGATGAATTATACGGTAGGTGCATATCATTATATCTCAATAAAATGTTTGTTTTTTTTTTAAATCACCAAGGTTTGGGGCACCTGGCTGGCTCAGTTGATAGAATGTGCAACTCTTGATCTTTGGGTCATAGGTTTGACCCCCACGTTGGGTGTAGAGATGACTTAAAAATACAAAATCTTTAGGGACGCCTGCATGGCTCAGTCAGATAGGTGTCTGACTCTCTCTCTCTCTCTCTTTTTTAAATATTTTATTTATTCATTTGAGAGAGAGAGACAGCCCGACATGGGGTTCGATCCCAGGACCCAGAGGACATGACATGAGCCAAAGGCAGACACCCAACCATCTGAGCCACCCAGGTGCCGAACCCCCCACTTTTTTCAGTTGTCTGACTCTTGATCTCAGCTCAGGTCTTGATCTCAGGGTTGTGAGCTCATGCCCAGCGCAGAGGCTACTTAAAAAAATAAAAATAACAATAATAAATTAAATAAATAAATAACCTTGTAAAAAATAAAAATAAAGTAAAAATCATTAAGGTTTTTTTTTGTTTTTGTTTTTGTTTTTTTTTAAAAAAGGCAGGATCCTTGTGGTGGCCACAACAATATGTGTCTCTGCCAGGAGCCTAACTGACTGAGGAAATGGTGAGGGCTCCATCCCGAGCCCCCAGTGCTGGGTCTGTACCTCCATGTGCTTCCCTGGCTGTTCCTTCCAGTGTCTGGAAGACAGCGAGGCCAACTGTCGCTGGGAGACGGGGCACTTTCAAGGACTCCCACTGGTTTCAATGAAATTTTCTTTTTTAAAAAATTTTATTTATTTTTAAAGATTTTCTGTACTTATTCATGAGACAGTGGTGGGGGGCGGGGTAGGCAGAGGTAGAGGGAGAAGCAGGCTCCTCACTGAGCAGGAAGCCCGACGCAGGGCTCGATCTCAGGACCTTGGGATCATTACCTGAGCTTAAGGCAGATGCTTAACTGACTGAGCCACCCAGGCGACCTTGCTGAAATTTTCTGAGAATTGCACTGCTGTCTGAGACTTTTCCTTCCAGCCTTCCTTCCTTCCATCTCTCTTCCAGGGGGGTCAGAACACGGCACTGAAAAAGAGGTGAGGGTTTGGGGACCTCGGGGGCGGGGGTGGGGTGCTATCAAAGAGACCCAGCAAGCAAATGCAACATATGACCCTTAACTGGATCCGGGATTGGTGACAAGAACAGTGAAAGTTGCTGAAGGGTATCTGTGGCACCGCTGTGGCATATCTGAATATGGCCTGTCCATTGGAGGGCATGACCGGTCAATTTCTTTGAGGGCGATAACGCGGGGCGTTCACATGGGGGGATGGCATTCTTAGGAGGCACGTGAAGTATTTAGGAGTGAAGGGCCGGGATGTCTGCAACTTGCTTTCAAAAGATTCATTCAGAGGGGAGCCTGGGTGGCTCGGATGGTTAAGCTTCTGCCTTTGGCTCAGATTGTGATCTCCCGGTCCTGGGATGGAGCCCCACATAGGGAATCTGCTTCTCCCTCTGAATCTCCTCCTCCCCCCCGCTTGTGTTTTCTCTCTCTCTCTCTCAAATGAATAAATAAAATCTTTGAAAAAAAATAACAATAAGCACTTATTATCTTAAAGTTGCTTTGGTCAGAACATATCTACTAAAAAAGAAAAGATTCAGCAAAGACATTCAGAAACAAGGGCAGGGCAGAGGGAGGCGTTCGCAAATGCTTTTGGTCCACGCGAGCGCGGGCTGGATGTGGGTGCTAGGCAGACGTGTGGCCACTGCACGGTTCTTTCTCCTTTTCTGTAGGTTCAACTTGGTCAGAACAGAAGGCTGAGAGGCAAAGGAGACCCCCGAATGCAGTGCGTGTGATGAGGGAACAGAAGGCAAGCAGAGGACAAAGCAGAAGCTGACACCCCACAACGCCCCCTCCCACGACCCACGGGATACATGGGACAGTCCTCAGACGCTCTGGGCTGCCCTAAAGGCAAAACAAACAGTTCACTCATGAGATCACAATCCTGCAGGACCTGAATCTCCCTCAGTTTACAAATGTCCTGGTGATTTACAAGGAAGAAGCTTTCTTATCAATAGCCTAAGTTCCAGAGACCTGTAACTCAGTTTCCCGAAGCCCTAACATCACCGTCCCCTCCATAAAATTGAGGGAGGCTGAGGCAGGAGGAAAGGTCAATAAAACAGAATTTCTTTTAAACCTGCAGCTCATTGACAAGGACGTGTGATAGGAGGAAGCTCCCAACTGTCTTACTCTTAATGCCTTACTAGAAGGAAAACCAACTTTGACAAATAGCAAAGCCTCCGGGATCCTGTGTGTCTTCTTTGATACATGAAAGTTCTTTCTCGAAACCCCCCTTTTTCCTTGCCTCC